TCATTAGTAATGCTGCATTCATGACTCATCTGTGGGTTATTCCCTTAAATACACACACAAGCAAGAATTTTTGTTTCTCTGGGCTCCAAGTTGGTCAGGACCTTCAATATAAATACATCAGTCTGCAAGAAAATTTATCATCTGACCTTGGCATGTTTTTCCCACTTTGAGAAAGAGCACTGGTTCCATACTTCCCTACTTGTAAGAACAGGGAATGTATGTCAGAATAAAGGAAGCTGTCACAAGAAGGATGTTTCCCAGTTACAACCCATGCAAATGAAGAATAAGAGAATCTTAGAGTTGGTCAGCAGAATAAAACCAAACAGCGGGTGTTTTAGCACGGAAGTGCTTGAACTTGAGCTGAAAACTGAAATCTTCCATCAGCAAAATCCACATGAAGTACTTTATTCAAAGCCAAATTTAATTCATGCAGGAAAAAAAAAAAAAGTATCACTTTCAAATCAGACTGAGTGTTTTGTTTTAGGACTAGGCTGCATCTCTCTGTGCTGCTGCAGCATCTCACCGGAATTCTGATGTTGGTGCGTTGTGGGCCAGACTATGGGGCTGATTTTGGGTAAAGCATCATCTCAGCAGTAAATACAACCTCCCCACGGGAAACAAGCTGCATGCTGGTGACACCCCATGAACAATATATCTGCGGGCTGGACAGCCTGGCTTACTGGGAAACATGGGGGAAAGGATTAACTGCTGCAGTAGTTCAGACTGAAGTCAATCCTGGCTGGAGGCCAGGTACCCACCAAAGCCCCTTTGTCACTCCCCTCCTCAGCTGGGAACGGGGAAGAAAATACAATAGAAGGCTCATGGGTCAAGATCAGGATAGGGAGAGATCACTTACCAGTTACTGTCATGGACAAAACAGACTTGATGTGGGGAAAATTAATTTATCACCGATCAAATAATGAGTAGGATAATGAGACACAAAACAAAATCTTAAAGACCTTCCCCACACCCCTCCCTTCTTCCTAGGCTCAAGTTTGCTCCACATTTCTCTACGTCCTCCCCTCCAGCAGTGCAGGGGGATGGGGAATGGGGGTTGTGGTCAGTCCATCACACGTTGTCTCTGCTG